AACAGCAACGACGACAACACGTCTCCTCCTGCAAAGGAGCGCCGCTGTGGCGAGATTATTATTTTTTATGCCCTGGTAGCGAGATGCCTGCATGCCAGGCGAGGGAGTTATTAAAAATAAGAATTAAAATTAAGAAAAATGTGAAACTTCAAATCTCATCAATTGTCTTCTTACTATCCGGGACACTGTTGTTCCAGTGCCCAACCAGGCTGCTATTATTATTTAACTTAAAACACCGTGAGCCACCAAACTGAACGGCGAGATAATTTTTTTAGCAATTTTAATTGCAGTTACTAGAACGCCATCGATCTGGGCGAGTACGGGAAGGTGCATTTTCCCACACCTCTGCACCCAACGAATAGAACGGTTGTACGTATGTTTATATGTTGAACTTCTATCGCACTGTACATAGCCACCCGTGCTAGTTGGAGGTGCGGGGAAGGACAACAAACTAAACACAAAGAGCAGTTCTAAAGAAATTAATTTTCAATCTAAATGATTTTAAAGTGTATAGCTCTAGTGACTTCCTAATATTGGAAGAGCATTCTAAATGGCCGCCGAAGCGCATCTGCAAGCGCGTGATGCGGTGACCAACTTTGTTCGATGGCTAGCCAAAAGCCTCTGCGAGAATTACCGGTTGGCTGCATATGGTGCGAAAGAAGTTCAGCATACATACACACGTACATACAAACTGTGCACGTTACGAATGTGTGCGCCCAGCCCGGTGGCATGGCGCCCAACGACGCGTTCCTGGAGGCCATGCTGCACCTCCGTGAGCAGGTGCTTCCCAACTGGAGGCCGATGCGACGTGCCTTCCGCGCTGTTGATCCTAGCGCCAGCGGCTTCCTCTCCGCCCCCGACTTCCGCCAGGTATGGTCGACCTACTCACCTGAGCGACTGGTGCTCAGAGGGAGGGCCAGTCGCACGATGGCAGAGAGAGAAAAAATTATTGCATTGACAATTGTGCAAAAATGTGATTCATTTTCCCGATAAGGATCAGCGAACACAGCCCTTCTTACTTCTAGGAATGTAATATTTTGTAAAAAAAAAAGTAATTTTTTATTACGTTAATGTTTTCGTTTTGTAATTTCTTTTGAAAATAAGAAAGTCAAGTTTATTAGACCAATATTCTGTTTGGAAGAACTGGAATTTTCACATTTTTTGTAATGGGTTTTGAAGATAGCGCCTCTAGTGGCTGGATATAATGTGGTGTAGCAGTGCGGCAGTGGTGAGTGCTCGAGTTCGTATCCCAGCCATGGTTAACATCAGTGGCCAACGATATCTGAATTGATCTCGGACTTCCACCACACCAACCCGCACTAACCAGTGTGATGAAGTATGGTCAAACAATCTCCCATGACGGACATGGTGTGCCGAGGTATTTATACTGTGGAATAAGACAGGATTGTATCAACAATATTTTAAAATTATAATTTGGCCATACTGTTTAGTTGAATTTGGGTAAATGGATGACAATATACGTGAATGTATGTGTCACGCATCCGTTATATGTGTGAATGTTGTGCACCGTTGTTGTGACAGGTGCTGAAACAATTCGCCATCAACCTGACGGAGGATGAGTTCTTTCAGATTCTCAACTATTACGACGGGCAGCTGCACAACCGCGTGCCGTACAACGCCTTCCTGCGGACGTTCCTCGTCTAGCTGGGCCGCCCACGGGGGCTCATCGCTCGCCCCCCACCACGGTGGCAGACTTGGTGGGCGGGCGATCGTGCGAGTGAGAAGCTGAAGTGGCCCAGTCGCACGTGAGAGGTCGTTTCGAGCTTACATCCGTAAGGCCACTGGACACGAGGAGCTATTGTCCGGTCGTGCTTGATACGTTTCATTTCCATTCGCAAGTTCATCCGTTAATTTTGTTGCGATAAAAATATGCCCTGATTTTTTGCCGTTCATTTAGAGAGGAGAAAAACGAAGAAGAAAAAAAGCCTATCATTTCGCGAATTCAGAATTATAAGAGTGCTACAATATTTTTTTATAACAATGTAATGTATTATTACATTGGAAAGTAACTTTTCTAGATACCGTATGCTGTGAAATGCTAAGGGAGACACGGTAATATAGTCAGCAATTTGGAAATTATTTATGTTTATGTGTGAAGGTGACTTAATTCAGTCTTGAAAATGTCTGCTTTGTTTGAAAGATGTTAATACATTTCTTTGAAAATGCTAAATTGTTTGATATGTCTTTAAAATAATATATGGAAATACAGATTGCTTTTATTTAATAAACTGATTTTAATTTACATATTGAGAGTTCATTAATTGATATATTAACCTTAAAAGGTATGCACATACGAACATTATTAATCTATGTACACACACTTGCAAATAGGTAAATTAACCACACTCCCCAACAATGTTAAATACCTAAATAATTGCCTTGTTTTTATATATTGTAAAAGCCCGGCGTTCTGTTTGTCCGTCAACTAAATGATAAGAACCTTTCAGAAGGCCTGAATCAATAAGTTATAGAAAGTGGACCCCCCAGATGTGGAGGTAAAAAGTTGATTCAACAGGTTTCCAAAAATTGTCAACCCCCCCCCCCAAAAAAAGAAAGTATGGTGTGGAGGCATATATATACAATCACCCAGGAATGTCTGTCCTTAACGCTGGTGACGTCCCTGCACATCGGCCAGCCCCCCTCATTAATATTCATGAGCAGGTGACATCCTCCAAATGGACACCCCCCCCCCCCCCATTATTATTACCTATGAGCCAAGAATGTCTGTGTGCAATGCTCGTGACGTAACTCCACGTCGACCAGCCCCCCTCATTAATAATCATGAACAGGTTTCGTCCTCCACATGGACCCCCCTCATTAATGAGCAGGTGACGTCACTCATGAGCAGGTAACATCACTCCACATGGAGCACCCTCCCCCCTCATTAATAATCATGAGCAGGTGACGTCACTCCACATCAAACAGCCCCCCTTATTAATAATCATAAGGTGATGTCCTCCAAATGGACACCCCCCCCTCCATTCATAATAATTAGCGGCTGACGTCACTCCACATGGGGGTCCGAGGCGCCTCCTTCGCAATTTCGCTTTAAGTTTCACGTTTCATTATTGAAAGTGAATCTAATAAATAATTCTACGCAGCAACAAAGTGGATTTCGTGTCTTTATTTATTTCTTCAGCACTTGAGACAAAAGGCAAGTCTAATTTATGCTTCTGCATTATGGTAAAATAGACATTTCTTAATGATTTTCCAGATATTGTATCGAATTCCAATTTATTTCAACCCCAGCGACTGAAAGCAGAAAATGATCAAGTATCAGAGCAGTGAATTTGAACAAATTGAAGGTCAGTTATATACAGTGTTAGTGACATGAAGCTCAGACCCCGATTGCTTGCCCATCGCCACATAAATAACCTTGTAACAGCTCTCTCGCTGGTTCAGCAAGTGTTGTAACAGCTCTCTCGCTGGTTCAGCAAGTGTGGTAACAGCTCTCTCGCTGGTTCAGCAAGTGTTGTAACAGCTCTCTCGCTGGTTCAACAAGTGTTGTAACAGCTCTCTCGCTGGTTCAGCAAGTGTTGTAACAGCTCTCTCGCTGGTTCAGCAAGTGTGGTAACAGCTCTCTCGCTGGTTCAGCAAGTGTTGTAACAGCTCTCTCGCTGTCAACAAGTGTTGTAACAGCTCTCTCGCTGGTTCAGCAAGTGTTGTAACAGCTCTCTCGCTGGTTCAGCAAGTGTTGTAACAGCTCTCTCGCTGGTTCAGCAAGGGTTGTAACAGCTCTCTCGCTGGTTCAGCAAGTGTTGTAACAGCTCTCTCGCTGGTTCAGCAAGTGTTGTAACAGCTCTCTCGCTGGTTCAGCAAGTGTTGTAACAGCTCTCTCGCTGGTTCAGCAAGTGTTGTAACAGCTCTCTCGCTGGTTCAGCAAGTGTTGTAACAGCTCTCTCGCTGGTTCAGCAGTTCCACTGCTGGCTTATTTCTTCCGCCTGAGGACGACCGCTTGTGTTGCGATCGAAACGTTATGATATATTTTAATTTAATTATTTTTCTACCTACTTGACTCTACCGAAAGAACCAAAGATTATGGATTCTTGCAGTCACGAAAGCTTCAAATCAAGATTGAGGCGTTTTATAACATAGTTTTGTGCCAGATTCACTGCCATTAACACAGTGCTACAGTGAAATGCAGTGAAGTGTTTGATGACATACTTTCGTGCAAGATTCACTGCCATTAAATTTACACAAGATACAATTATACTCTGCTCGATTTTTTTTTCAGTAAATATTACAGCTTCCATCCTAGGACGGGCAAAAGGCTAGTATTATATATACCTACACATCCTACATACAATAGTCAGCAGTATCTGCACACATTGGGGAGTGGGGGGGGGCATCAGTGGGGGCGAGGCGTAAAGTGCCGAGAGGCCGCCTGTAGGAGCCAGAAATTCGAGTTATACAAATTTAGAACAAGCGGAATGTAACATTGCGGCAAAGTGTGGAAGCGGCACAAAGCGGTGGTTTTACCAGAGGGCTCTTTAACGAGCTGCCAGAATGAAGAAATCCGACGAGCTATGAAGCGCTTCACAGGTATAAAAAAATGTTTTTTTTCTACCAAACCATTAACTGAGTCTCCATTGAGTTGGGGAGGATTCGTTTGTCCTGAACAAAGAAGTGGTGTGCACACACTGGACACCCACAAACAAACGTGCTTCGACTTTCATCCAACTACATACACCGAGTAGATCCATGGAAGTAGACGCATAGATGTACAGACAACTCCATGTAAGCAGGCACACGTGATGCGTGAGAGGTACGTATTGAACACAAAAACTTTGAACTTGTTTCATCGCCATCTCTCACGCAGTGCCCTGCGATGCAACAAAGATTCCCCACCCCCGTATAGCATTAAAAGATGGTCGGGGCAAATGAATAAAATCCGGAAGGGGGCAGCACTACGCCCGGCCGCCTTTGTCTCCCCTATTGGTGATTGGTCAGATGTTCATCACTGGTTGGTGTTTGGCCGCGAGCGGGAAAACAGAACTCTGATCGAGATGACTCGCGATGCGGACGGAGTTTCCCGGGCAAGGCGAGAGAAGGCACAGAACGAGTGCCATTGGCTGCGATAATTGCAATCAACGCCAGACCCCCAAGGTGCGCGTGCCCATGGCTATAAATAGGGGGCATTGGAGTGGGCGTGCACACGCAACTCCACAGCGGTCGCCAAAGACGATGTGCAGATGGTTTATTAACAACCCCTCCCCCCGCATCACACCGCTTAAAAGAACCGGGATTTTTTTCCCCCCCACCCCAAATACAATCGTTGAATTAAAAGTTTTGCTGAACTTAAAGGTCGTTGTCTCTCTCTTCCTCCATCCATCCGAGCCACCTTCCATTGTCACCACAAACTCGTGTGTGGACTTTATTTTTGTTTAAAGCATCCGAGCAAACGCTTCTAAATCGCCAACGATCCACCTGTTTTACCACCACCACCACCGCTCCCACCACCACCAACCACACCCCCCAACACGGAGAGCAGTAGCCGAAGGAGTTGGGAAGGACGAGTTGGTTCTTCCGCGTGCGAGATGCAGGGCTGCTCCGTGCGAGAGATGGCGGCGAGATTCAGTGACGTGCTCCGAGCAGCCCCTGCTGGCCTCGTGGCGTCGACATCGACGTCAGGAGCCGGACCTGAGGATGAAAGCGACCCCAACTCGACCGGTGAGAGAGAGAGAGGGGAGCGTGGTGGTGTCTCATGGGCCACGATGTTACTGCCACTTTTACGTACGGTTCGCGAAAACTTTTCAACACAAGTGGGGAGTGCAGAGAGTGTGCTGTGGTGAGATAAGTAATGTATTTTTTTTAAACACGCTTTAATGAAATATACCGTACTAGTAATGGAAGAACTTCAACACTCCAGGTAGTGGGCCCGAAGCTTGCCACAACGTGGGCAATTACAGCCAACGTGAGTTGAGCGTGGACAATACGACCCAAGCCGAAACATAACATCTAAAAAAGATCGTTGAATTTTTTTTTATGATAGAATATGGTAGTGTACTGATGGTATTGTCATCAGTATACTAAGCTTGCAGTCGATACCACATTGGGAAGCGGGTTAAATTTGAGTTACAAGATTTAAGGATACAACAGAGTTAATAGAAAACGTGTAATAGTAATAATACAAGAGGCGGCCTGACGCTGGAGCTGCCGGGCAGGATCGTGTCGCGATTCTCGCCTTGCGGCTACGAACCCGACGGCCCGAGTTCGATTCCCACTCGCCGGTCCTGGGCCGCCCCTAGGTCGACTCGGCCTCGCAATGAGTAGCTGCTGCGGTGTGTAAACACATCGCCGCTGGAGAGACGAAGACGGCCGGGCGTGGTGTCGGTCACCCCCTCGTTGTACCGTGCCGGCCTTCAGGTGCTCGCTAACAGCACTTGCCCCAACGGTGTGCGAAGGCTATATGGGAGATTCTAGATTTGAGACTTTCGTGACTGCAAGGATTCATACTCATTGGTTTTTTCGGTAATGTCACGTAGGTAAAAATAAAATAAAACTAAATTAAATCACGACGTTTCGGAGGCAACACAAGCTTCCGTCTTCAGGTGGAACAGAGAATTTGTTGTCGGCGAACTTTGTTGTGTCTGTTCCACCTGAAGACGTAAGCTTGTGTTGCCTCCGAAACGTCGTGATTGAATTTAATTTTACCTACGTGACCTTACCGAAAAAAACCAAAGCGTATACGGTAGATCTTTGTCTTTGGGGCGCATATACCCCCACAAATATAACCAGTAACCCCCCCCCTCCCCCATCAATTATCACAGGGACCAATCACTGCGTATGAACATTAGTTTTGTTCCGAATTCTATCCCGTTGTTCATTTCACTGGGGGAAGATTGTTCTGGTTTTGTGTATGTACGAACACGTGTAGACTTTAAATGTCAATGTCGAAGCCTCCGAGAGAGAGTTCATTATACAGGGATAGCAATTCTCTAATCCTTCCAGAGTAGGCTCACTCAAGACTCTATGTTTTCATGGTGGTTACTGCATGATATCGCCAATTATTTTACTTGTGTAAGGATATCAGATGACCCGAAGATAACGGCACTGCATAAGCGGAAATAACGATCAACAGTTTAGCACGTAGGCTTTCACTACCAATATTCAGGGTTTTTATTTTTGGTTAGATCGCGTAAACGTGTTGTTAAACCCGCCACCAACCGACACGGCCAATTATTAAGGTTGTCACGTAAACAAAACATGCCAATTCGTTACTAGCTCGGCACACCGGTGTGTTGGGAGAGTGAAACCCACGTTTCCAATTCCGAGTCGGCTTAACACTCCGCACGGATGGGTTGACGCGTTCATTTTGCTGTGCCGTCAGACATGTCTTCACCACGGTCTGAGAGATTTAACATATCTCCTCGTTATCCACCAACCCTTGTCTTTAAAACGATCGCGTGCGTGTGAGCCGCCTCCCGTGCTGTCTTGAGACAAACCACGGAGATCCGCGTCGAGTTTCGGCGAATGCAGCGCGTGAGTACAATACGGCCACGTGTTCTAATCGCCACGTGTTTACAGCGCGTGATAACAGCACGACCACGTGTTTACAGCGCGTGATAACAGCACGACCACGTGTTTACAGTGCGTGATAACAGCACGACCACGTGTTTACAGCGCGTGATAAGCACGACACGGTTTACAGCGCGTGATAACAGCCACGACCCGTGTTTACAGCGCGCGATAACAGCACGGCCACGTGTTTACAGCGCGTGATAACAGCACGACCACGTGTTTACAGTGCGTGATAACAGCACGACCACGTGTTTACAGCGCGTGATAACAGCACGACCACGTGTTTACAGTGCGTGATAACAGCTTGACCACGTGTTTACAGCGCGTGATAACAGCACGACCACGTGTTTACAGCGCGTGATAACAGCACGACCACGTGTTTACAGCGCGTGATAACAGCACGACCACGTGTTTACAGCGCGTGATAACAGCACGACCACGTGCTTACAGTGCGTGATAACAGCACGACCACGTGTTTACAGCGCGTGATAACAGCACGACCACGTGTTTGTACAATGAAAACTATAGGTCCCAAACGCACTGGTTTGGTGGGGACAGTCCCTGTGGTTTAAGGAAGCTTGTCCCGCAGTACATAAACTTTTAGAAAATCGGGGAACCCCCCCACCGTTTAAAAGTATTCTGGCTCTATGCTCCACTCATGATGCGGGGTGGGTGGGGGGCTATGGGGCCGTCCATAAATGACGTCACGCACCTAGGTAGGTGGGGGGGGTCAGACATTTGTAACGATGTGTGACGAGGTGGGGGGGATAAATGTGACGCCACATCAAAATGCCAACTTTAAATAAATATAGAATTATTATAACAACACTAATTGTTACAACAACACTCTTACAACATCAGAGTGCAGCGCCACATTAAATACGCACTACAATGACAATAGTTTAAAGCGATTTGAAGCATGTTTTATTTTCAAAATGGAAATATGTGTTTGGGGGGGGGGGGGGCAGAGCTTTGTGACGTCATATTTGAGGGGGGGGGGGTCTGACTTTTTGTGACGCCATGTGATGAGGGGGGGGGGGTCAAAAATCGTCCAAGATCGCGTGACGTAATTTATGGACGGCCCCGAAGTACAGAACTACCTGCGTGGTGGGTGGGGCTACCTGCGTGGTGGGTGGGGTTCCCTGCTTGGTGGTGGGCTACCGTGCCGTGGTGGGTGGGGCTACCTGCGTGGTGGGTGGGGCTACCTGCGTGGTGGGTGGGGCTACCTGTATAGTGGGTGGGGTTATCTGCTTGGTGGGTGGGGCTACATGCATGGTGGGTGGGGCTACATGCATGGTGGGTGGGGCTACATGCTTGGTGGGTGGGGCTACCTGCATAGTGGGTGGGGCTACCTGCATAGTGGGTGGGGCTATCTGCTTGGTGGGTGGGGCTACCTGAATGGTGGGTGGGGCAGTGCGTGAAGTTGGGTGGGCGGTGCTTTGTCAAAGTGGGAGGGGCTGCTGCACGCCCATCATGTGGCCTGGTTGAGCCTGCCAGAAATGTTTTTTTTACCAATATTTAGGGCACTGTTAAGCAGAGAACTTAATGTACACTGATGTGATGGTCCATTGATGGCTCAATAACGTCCAGCAATGGACTGACAAAGAGCTAGCTGGACATGAGGTATGTGCACGTCTGGTTCTTTGTCAGTCCATTACTGGATGCGGGCCTCGCCAACACTGCGTAGGTCGTGAGGATTGTTTGGCCGCGTGACGCCACGCCGGTCGTTGAATGTGGGAAGCCAAGACGGAGCGCAAAAGTTCAGTACAACAATGGATATTGCCGCGTAGCCCTCCGCTGCACGCGGTGCATTTCCTGCGCGGCCTGCCGTTCAACAAACTGACGTCTGTAAATATTCTTGGTTCTTTCGGTAAAGTCACGTAGAAGGGAAACGATAAAATAATAAAAATATAAAACAATAAAATTCTCACGACGTTTCGACTGCAACACAAGCAATCATCATCAGGTGTGCGGAACGTTCCCCTCGGCCGTCCCTCTGCGCACCCCCTCTCTCCCCCCCCCTCCCCCTCACTTGCAGTCCCAATGGTGTAGTGTGGTCGGTCACCATGGGCGCTTGTGCAAGGACAGGATTGATGAAAGGTGTGAAAATCACCTGATGATGATTGCTTGTGTTGCAGTCGAAACGTCGTGATAATTTTATTGTTTTATATTTTATTATTTGTTTCCCTTCTACGTGGTGACTTTACCGAAAGAACCAAGAATATTAATCCCTACAGTCACGAAAGCTTTAAATAAAGCTGACTATACTTGGCTTCTGAAATTGTACTTAAATTAAATTCCTGGCTTCCCTGTCCACCCGCTGTTTCCACTGCCAACAGGTCTTCCGCACCACTGCATGAATGTCCCAACAATGACGCGCATTCCCTGTCCGGGCATGGTGCCGTTGCCACCACCGGCACCACCGGCACCACCGGCACCACCGGCACCACCGGCACCACCTTCGAAGGCAGCGTCATCCTCGTCGTCGTCATTGCCGGCGTCGTCGTCGTCCGTGGCTGGTGCCGAGGGCGACACGGCAGCGCCGCCGGGCCACCACGCCTTCCGCGCCACGCAGGTGTGGAGTGAGCTGGTGGCGACGCTGCGGGGCCACGTGGACGCGAGGAGGAGGAGGGTGCAGCTCCGCTACCACGACGACTGCTTCACGGGCGCCGACGCGGTGGACGTGCTGATCACGCACCTCGCGAGGACGCCGCGCTTCGCCACCTCCTGCGAGCTGTCCAGGATCCAGGTGAAGTACAGTCGTCGTGCGGAACGTTCCCCTCGGCCGTCCCTCTTCCCTCTGCGCACCCCCTCTCTCCCCCCCTCGCCCCACTCGCAGTCCCAATGGCGCAGTGTGGTCGGTCACCATGGGCGCTTGTGCAAGGACAGGATCGATGAAAGGTCGCATGCCACTGCCCAATTTCCCCCGCCCTCTTTGCAGCCTGGCGCCTGGGCCCCCCTCTGGCCTGTGGTGCAGTTGCACCACCTGCACACACAATTGCTACGCCCCACCGCCGTTCATCCATCCGTGGCTGTAGCAATGTGGTGTCACTGGGCACGATATAAGGTTATATATGCACGTATTTAAATCCTCAAGTCTGTTTTAATTGATCTTTCTAGCAAATGGCAGTCGCGTTTTTTTCCCACGACCATTTCACCGCGGCTGCAGGTGACGCGGCTGTGCCAGTCGTTTGTGGACTGCGGGGAGCTGGAGCCGGTGGGCAGCGCGCGACGCTTCGGCTTCTTCGGGGAGAAGCGCGCTCCCACGTTCGAGGACGGCAGCTCCAGCTTCTACCGCTTCCCGCTCGAGGGCGGCGGAGTGGCGCGGTCGGCCGTCGGTTCGAAGGAGGCGAAGGACAGGTTGGTGCGCGGCGGCACCTTGTCTGTCGCACACCTCGTCCGACTTCCTTGCTTGATGTTGGCAAATCCGGATGTCCGGGGTTGTAACGATTCGCCCGCCCGCCACCCCCTTCAACCCCCCACTCCTCCCCAGCGATTACGATGAACTGTCACGATTCAAAGTGGTAATGAAAAAAATTAAAACCTCCTGAATAAATACATGCAAGGTACCAGATTAGGATTGCACACGGCATCACCGCTCACCCCCCCTCCCCCCCCCCCCCCCCGAGGAGGACTCTGAGTGAGGCTAGGTTGGGTAAACAAGCGTGAAATAAAAATGACTTAATAATTAATTTGGATTAATCTATTAATTTTGTCTCGTTGCCATGGATGGCTCTGAGGTGCTGAGAGCACATTTGGGAGTGAGTTTTGGGAAACGCCTAAGTCTGCCGCTCGCTCGCTCCTAGGCCAGAAGACTCCAGCCTGATGTCCAACTGCACTGCGGTCGAGTCGAGCGACCAGGCCCTGGAGAAGATGTTCAGCAGCGTGAACCTCCTAGGGCCCTCGCTCTCGGCCACTGCTGACAACGCTCCACAGCGGGGCTGCTTGCTCTCCAAAAAGGGTACCCGCACGGGTCGAAGGTCGACGCGTCTTTCTGTGAGCGATGAGGTGGTGGGTGGCGGCACGCCACTCGTGCCCGCTGGGGGTGCTTAGGCAGTGAGGGAAATTCCACGTTCTCATGGAGGGGGGCTCTTTTTTACCGTGAGACTTCCAAAAAACTTTTTTTTTTTTAGTACAGCAAATGCGTTAACAACGCGGAAAGCGCAATTTAAAAAAATGTATAGCAATTGATACTAAATGTAATTTGAATGTAAAAAAAACACGTTAAATGTTTAATAATTGATCTCGAGTTGGCCTAAGTAAATTTAAGTAATCGATTAAATGCCCGGTTTTTATTGCTTTTGTGTAACTCAAATCTCATGACACGAAATTGCAGTTGGGAAAACTAGTCCCATACGTGTGTCGCTGGACCTGGAGGCAACGGTTGGTGCTTGGTGACGTCATCGGCTTCGTCATCCGCGTCGCACTGGGCGATGCTCGTAGGGGGTTTCCCGCCTTCTGGGCCCCCCACCCCCATGCAAATCGATCGAAAAAAGTCGTCTCGAAATCTACTTAATTGACCAATATGAGGGTGGGGGGTGGGCAGCTCTAGATTTAACGCGCGCGTGCGATCGTGATGGAACAACTGTGAATGCTTTCACCGGCCAGATTTCTGCGTCTGCGTGTGCGTGCGCGAGCAGCCGTGGCGGAGGTGTGGAGGCACCAGACACTGCTGCGACTGCTCCAGCTCATAGACCTCGCCGTGCTCGACTCGGTGCTGGAGTCGCCACCCTCCTCGCCCAAGCGCGGCAAGAAGCGGGCGCCGGCGGTGTCGCCCGCGCCGCCCCCGCCCACCGCCACTGACGACGACGAACTCGTCGTCCACAACCCCTACCTGGAGCTGACGGACGCCGGCCTCAGCCTGCCTGTGTGCGTGCGTGCGCATTCGGTCGAAGTGGGGACACGTCCGTGTAGAACATGTTTTATTTCTTGAGGCCTTAAGATCTTCTGATCGCCATCTGGTCGAGGTTACGCTCTTTTGGTGGTCGGGCTTTTGTTAGCGTGGCACCCAAACTATGGAACGCCTTGCCACTTGAAATCAGGCAATCGCAGTCTGTAGGTACATTTGTCTGCTTTGAAACCCCATCTCTTTAAGGCGACCTTCCCCTCTTTAGTTTGGTCGGTTGCCCTGGTTCTGTTTTTGTTTCCTGCTTTTCATGCATTGCGCATTGGGATCCTAAGATGGAATGCGCATTATACATTTTTATTATTAAAGCTGCCAAACGCGTCCTAGTTTTGTCTCGGAAACTACCCAATCGTGTGTTCTGAACCCAAATTGAAAAATTTGGATCTTGTTCCCAGTTTAACCCGTGTTCTGGCTTTGTGCTCGACTCGGTGTTGTGTGCAAAGGTGTGGGGGGCTGGGTGAGTCGTGGGTGGGTCCTGTGAGTGCAGAGTTCCCAATGGAGTCGTCTTCGCCTCGCGACGCGACGCCGCCGAGCGTCGAATCAAGGTGGAAATTGAGGGAAAATAACATGGTGTAGATTATTTTAAAGATTTCTGGCTGGCTGCTAGCTGAGCTCCTCTATACCCCAACAATAGCTCCATTGGTGGTGTCGGCCTGCGGGGCCGTTGCCACCGAAACTAGCTGGGTACCTGAGTACACGGGATTTCCCGTCTGACAAATTAACGTTGAATTGAAAAGGTGGCAGAAGTTCTCGTGGACACTGAAGAGGTGGGAGGAACACATGCAGAACACTGATCACGGTTAATACTCAATTCTAACTTTTCAATTTGCGCTCCGATTAATGCAATTCCTTTACCAGAATATAATTTAAATCTTAGAAAACAAAAACGTCGCGATACATATTGTCATGACATTTTATTGTTCCGTGAAAAAAGCTGAGCACTTTCGGTGTTCCCAGTACAGGAGGATCGTGGCAAGTGTCAACAGGGCAGCTGTCTCTTGTTTTTCAGTTGGAGAACTACTGCTTCTCTACCCGTGTGTGTGTGCGTGTATATATATATAATTCGATTCCCACTCGCGGCCAACACCAGTGACGATAATTATCTGAACCGGTCAATGAGTACCTGGTGCCGTGTGCAGTGCTGGCCACCCACTCCTTCGTGTACCGTTCCGACCTTCGTAGGTGCTACTCGTGAACAGCACTTGCCCTAACAGTGTGTTGAGGCTATACGGGGGGGATCTTTGTCTTTACACATGTATAACGCAAGTAAGTAAACTTCCACGCACCCACCCCCCTACCTCTTACGCACGTTGACCTTCTTAAGAAAGCCATATGCACTCTAATCGCCCGCGCGTCTCCGCGCCGCCAGCTTGGACGAGTGGCTGGCGGCCGCGCTGGACTGCCTGGACCACCTCCCCGACGCGCTCGTGGTGGAGGTGACGCAGAGGCTGCCGCGGGGCTGGGGCGGGGCGCACGGCGGCCCCGCCAGCGCCGTGGACCGCCCGGACGACGACGACGGCGACGCCGCCGCCAAGCGCGTCCTCTTTGACGTCGTCGGCCGCCACTACGGGCAGGCGAAGCGGCCGCTGCTCGAGAACCGCCTCTTCGACGTCCACACGGCAATCCTGGAGCTCATACGTAAGTGGGGGGTAGATGGGGAGGGGAGGGAGGGAGACGGAGGAGGGGGAGAGACGGGGGGGGGGGGTAAGGAGTTGGGTCAATACGTGTGAGATTTGTGCAGACGCAGGGCTTAATTTTCCCTCGCCAAATATTTTACGGGTCGTCACTTGTTGTGGACTGGAGTAGTTGGTGCGTGACTACTCATAGTAGTCATAGCGATGGGTATACTGGATGTGGTGTGCCGTTTGGGGGGGGGGGGCATAATTTATTTGCGGATTGCTGATGGACCTGGCTAAAGTTGAGTCCTTGTGGCATGGTTAGAGATGTGACTGAACATCGATTACCTTTTTTGTTTTTCTCATATCGATTAGAGAGGGGGGCAGGTGGTGGGTGTTGCAAGACGGAGCTGATGATGGTCTTAGCCCGGTCACTAAAATGAGTGCACAGAAAATCATATAAAAACTTTAATTTCATTTGATTCGAGGGGAGAGGGGGGGGGGGGTCGTAGATTAGCCCGCTCGGTCGGGACGATGCCGGCCTGTCGTCCGCCCTCTCACGCCGCCGGTCCGCTTTGACGCCCTCTCTCTCTTCTGTGCCGCCGCCGTCGCCGCCGCGCGCAGTCAAGGACAGCACCGCGGTGGCCCTGGAGGCCACGCAGCTCTGCCTGCGGCTGCTGGAGGCGAGCGTCCGCGAGGAGCTGCGGGCGCTGCTCCGGCTCATGCACGTGGCGGCGCTCGCGAGCTCCTACCGGCTGCACAAGCAGGCACGAGCGCAACGATTCGTCGTCATCGGCGGCCGTGATCTCGCCCTCCCGCCCGCTACCGCACGAAAGTCTCTCCTGAGCCACCGATTTACGCGAGCTCCATGGGTTGATTTTTTTTTTGCGCTCTCTCCCAGTTTGCTTCCCTCGTCTTTGGCTGCTACTTCATCGTTAGTCTTGTCCAACAGCACACGGCCCCCATCCCTTCTAGGGACATGTCCTACCCTGCCCCCTGCCCCCCTTCCCCTCCGCATACTTTTCTTAAGTCGGTATGAAGCTCTTTTACTTATGTGTGTGTTCTCTAATCTGTTAATTTTCCCGTCCCTCGGCGGATTAACAAGCGTGCACCTCTCCCTGCTTCCTGTCGCTCACGTTTCAGGTTTTGTGTTGCGTGCTACCTGTCGATGGTCCGCGGTTTTTGTCAATCGTGGCCGATTTCAATTCCCACGGGGGGGCGTGGAGTTTCTTACGTGCAGTGCTTCGTTCGCGCCCCCCACCCCCCTTGCCTAACCGTGCCCACCCCACCCCCCCCCCCCCCCCCCCCCCCCCCCCCCCCCCCCCCCCCCCCCCCCCCCCCCCCCCCCCCCCCGCACGGTCGTTCTCTCCGCACAGACCGACAATCTCGCCGTGGTGCGACGGACGTTCGGCAAGGCGATCGTGCAGAACAAGGCCCTCTCCAAGAGCCACGCCGAGCTGCTCATCTCCTTCCTGATGGACAACCACACGGAGATCTTCAAGGTGGCCGGACACGTCTTGTCACGATGCCACAAGTGAACACCCCGCTTGTTGCGAGCCATCTGATGGGTTCCCAGGATGTCGCGGCGGGTCTGAATTTGCATGGTTGGCTATGTGCGGTACGAAAGGAAGTTCAACATACATGCTGTACATTCATGGAGTGGTGCACCCAGCTGAACAATGTGGAGGAGACGGAATGGTTTCCCAACACGGGGTTGAGTACCTAGTGCGGTGTGTAAACATCGCCACGAGGGAGACAAAGGCTTCGAGCGGTGCTGGCCGGCCACTCCCCTCATTGTGCTATCCCAAGACTATACGGGGCTCGTTGTGTTAGGAAGTGAATTGTGCAATATATCGAACCCACGACCTTCTTCATACCAGGTGAGGTAATTAACATCTCACCACTTGGACCCACCCGTTTCCCCAACCCCCCCCCCCCCCCCCCCCCCCCGCAACAATTGTCATTGCCCTCATGGGGGGGGGGGTGGGGCACCCTTTTCCGCCGCCGCCAGGTGCCGGTGTCGCTGCACGTCATGGTGAGCGAGCGGCTGGCGAGCCTGCAGGGGGGCGGCGACCCCAACCGACTGCCGGGCTTCACGTACTGCGTGCGGCAGTCGCGCGCCGAGTACGCCGCAGAGGGCGCAAGGGCCACGGAGGAGGCGCTGCGCGGGCTCGTGGCCAGCGTGAGCGAGGACACGGCGCGCTCCGCCAAGCACAAGCGGCGGCTGCTCAAGGAGCTGCAGAGGCATCACCCACAGGCCTTCTCGCAGCACTTTGCCACCATGCTGTGAGGTCGTAGGTCGTAGCTCCCCCGATTTCCTCCCCCCCCCCCACCCCTTCGCACCCCCACCAGCCCCCACCTCACCCCAACCCCAACCTGTTCCACTCGGTGTGCTTTGGCGCAAGTGAATCGTGACCGGCAAGAATGTGGTTCGATCATATAATGGTGGTAAAGCAGAGAAAGTTCTCGGCGGATAATTGCAAAGTTCCAATCCTGGTGGACGTTGTTAACGGGAGCATCGTCCCTTCGGGGGTCGATCAAAAAGTGAGTCGCTCGACTTTTGTGGGGACGTTGACAGTAATTGCCTTGTGGAGGGAATTGTCCCCCCATCGTACGAATGTGTATTTTCATACCCAATGGCTCAGGGCTGTAAGTAAGATTAGCATCATCAACTCAATGGTCTTTGAACAAGATATGCTGCCGAGTTTAATACGCTTTTGGGAATTGACATAGTGTATAAGTTGCATAAACTGTAAATAAATGATCTGCTAAGGTTGTAAACAAAACCTATACAAACGAGATGAATGAACAAAGAAGCCGTATCCGGGAAAAGCTAGAGATGAGACGAATCGCTTTTAATCTTAACTGCATGACAAATCGCTGTGGCATTATTGCGCCCATCTCACGCAGTGTGCGCACAGGCTCTTGTACTGTTTGGTCTTGTGACCGGTGCCTGTCTCACGTGTTGAGGAGACTACAATTCTGTTTTCGTGTCAGGTGATGCGTGCAGCAGGTGTATTGAGAAACTGGAATGCGATGACGGTGGCTTCAGCATCGGAGATTTTTGCAACCGGATGGGACACGCGCAGCCCTTGCAGCTTCGCCGGAGAATGGCCCATCTGGTAGGATTTGGAGCACTGAAAAATCTTAATTTTCGGAATCTTCACCTCGTCCCCCCGACCATCAATAATTAATTCGCCTGCATCGTAGATTGTAAGAAACTGCCACGAGCGTCCCACTGGTATTCACGATGAAGCCATAGTTTTGTTCACCTGGTGGTTTTCATGCCGCTGCTCAGCTGTGAAACTTTTTGACTGGCGCTTAAAGTGGCATCTGTGCATGTTCCCGGAAGGCGCTTGTTTCTGCCATGTGCTAAAGGTCACACATTTTGACTCGAGGATTGGAATTGCTGTAGTGCCTTCTGCGGTAATGATTGCTTTTTACCCGTTCTTGGTTGCAACTCCCTATCTGTAGCACCAAAGTGTTGTGAATGTTGTTTGCGATGAAAATGCCCTGCAAGTGAAAGTGGTACATGTTCTCTTTATTTCGTTGGTATTAGCTGTGGGTCTGTGCACTCGGCGCGCGTTTGTAATCAGTAGCTGGTGCATGTCCTGCACTGATTGTTTTAGGTGGGTTTGGAATTAAATAAATGTCAGAAAGGGCTGAGGCTTAAACTCAATTTGCACTGAAAAGACGACGTGCACATCTGGGATTTGTCGGATGTTAGTTTGTGCGTTGGCTTTAAAAGCTGTTGAATGTGTCATGTCCTGGATTAAAACATTAACCATTGCATAATGTACTTTTTTAATGAATTCTAATAAAGTTTTTGTTATGATTTGTCAGTGCATGCGTGTTATCCAGCACCTTGGAGGCGAGGGTGGATAGCAAAAATCGGGGGCGGAGCCAGGGCGGGTGACAGGGGTGACATTCTGCGTATAAGTGTACGACACTCGGTCTGGCGGACTGACAATGCAGTTGCACGCAGTGTCGCCAACCGATGGCGTCTAGTTCAACGGCCTGACTCTCTAATCATTCTTGAAATTAAAATTTGTTGAATGTCACCCCGGCCTGAAATCCTGGCTCCGCCCCTGGCAAAAATTGCTGCAAATGGTCATTTTTTTAATAACTTTATTTTTACAATTAACAATGAATTCCTGCATTGCCTTTAGGCTTATTATGCTCCACATAACATGAACGGTGTGAATTTCATGGAAAAATTAACAGACGAACCTTTGAAATAAAAAAAATGGCTAAATATTCATAGCTTTATTTTCCAAGGAAAAGTTAAGTCCTGCATTGCTCTGTGCTATAAACAGTGGGCATTTTCACTATGTAATTTTTCACAAAATGGCCAAATTTTCATAGCTTTATTTTCCAAGGAAAAGTTAATTCCTCTTGCCTTTAGACTTATTATGCTCCGTGCCATAAACAGTGTACATTTGAATGTTTTTTTACTTGCAAAAATCGGCGTATGAACCTGTCACTTTTAGCTAAAAATGGCCAATTTTTATAGCTTCATTTTTCAATGAAAAGTGAATTCCTGGATTGACTTTAGGCTTATACTGTACATAATGGAAAAGGTGCAAATTTTAAAAACAAAAATTCACATGGAAAAATCGACAAGCCATCTTTCACAAAAAAATGACATTTTCATAGCTTTAATTTTAAATAAAAAGTGAATTCCTCCATTGCCATAATAAAAATCGATCAATGAGTGCAGGAAAAAACTTGTTTATTTCTAAAGAATATTGTTACGAATTTTAAACAACTTAGTAGAATTTACAACTCGCCAAAAACGATGGCAAGTTTTTATTTAAATTCAAATGCTTTAATTGCACGTTCGTTACGTATGCAGTACATTGTGGCAGGGCAGGAGAAAACGTTTTGTACAAGAAACGAAATCTACTTGCATAAAGTAGCATCCCTCATAAAAAAACGCTTGGGTATTAGAGTTAAATGTGGGTAATTGTTGGTCACAGCTCTTAGGCGCTTTGCGGAGCCATTTGAGATTCACCAAAATAGACATTGCTTGGTGTACTGACCACCACCGCCAGAAACAAATAATACAGGAGATGCAAAATCTTTGGCCACTGCACGCATCAACAAGCCTCCAAGGCACAGATGCATCGAAAGAGCTGTTCACCTGCCCAATTGCTTGTGCCTCTCCACAATATATTGGACAATTTTGATAATGGCATTGGGAGTGGTATTTTTGGCACACACCGCCACATTCATCATTAACCTTGCATTGCTAAAGAAATATAAGATAAATATTACGTTTTAAGTTGTGAATTTAACAATTTTTTTTAAACACAGACCGTGAAGAAACGTCCAGTTTTGTATTGACATGAACACATCTAGCTAGATGATCATGACTAGCTGATGACAAATGGGAAAAATTACAACAATCGGAAGCCGATTGATGGAAGGAAAAGAGGGGGTATAGCCTGAAAATTAGATGACAGGATGAGATCAAGGGATTTGGAGAAATGCATTGGATGGAATTGGCATAAGAAGAGTGGAAAACATTGGCAGATACCTTTGCCCAGAAGAAGGAAAGGCATTGTTAATATTTAATACGCACTGTAAATGTGTGATGGGATATGTTGCATTCAAGTAATGACTGGAAGACGAAATATGGAATGCGAGGAACAGAGACTGAGAATATAAGAAATCGAGGACGAGCAGGAAATACTTCACCATGCTAGTCGGGGCATTTGAGGAGCATGGACTTGGGCACATAGTAAAACAAAGGACTTTGCTGTACCCCCCACGATGTGTACAAAACTAAATTCGATAACAAACGTTTTTGTGCAGAAAGCCGTTCATCCAAACGACACTCTTCAACGCCACAGTGACGCACAAGCATCGGGGTCCATTTAAACCACGTCCCAGTTCACAGTATCTGGCCACGCTGTTTTCTTTTTGAGCTAAACGGCCCGGTAGTCATTTGTTGTCAGTGGAGGAAATGTTCGCTTGCTGGCACAACAGCTCAAATGCTCGACATTAAAAAAACGATTGTGTTTCCTGTCAGCCAGCGAACATCACTGCCTCTTGTGATGGCAACTGCTCAGGACCCCCTCTCTCTCGCCATCCCCAAGAGTCGTACATGGCCGTTACGTCATCAAACGTCGAACTTCTCGTCGCACGCCTCGTGGCCCCGCTCCTCGTACTCCTGCCGTGTCACCACGAGCGAGTTGGAGAAATCGGGAGTGCCGGACAGCATCACGCCTCCTTCCCACGCGTGCGTTATCGGGCTACGGGGAGATGCGCATATCACAACAAGGCCGACAACTTTTATTCTTAAATTTTACGCCCCAATGGTGCTGATGGCATCTCATGGCACGAGATTGAGTATCCATTCGGGTCTCCTTAGTGCAGCACAACCCTTCACAGAGCTACCTCTGAGCACGTTTCCACCCACCCTGTATGTGAGAGTAATGCCCCTCCTCACATGACCATTGAACCAATATTATTAATGGTCTATTTTTTTACAGTTGGCGACAACCGAAATCGTCAGTGTTGAGCTGACTTTGGCCAACGTTAAACTACAAATGGTCAGCAATGAAATCAAAAGAGTAACCATATCAACTGCAACTTTGTAACTGTTGCTCTGTACCCTGCAACATGGATACATGTAGAAGATGATTAGGAGGGGGGAGTGCTCATCATCTTTCCATGGGGAACTAAGGATCACTCTCTCTCGCTCTCTCGCAGTTAAACCAATTGAAATGTAATAAAATAAAGAAAAACACGTTGCGTACTTATCGGGCTGCGTGACGGCCACCTCATACTCGTCCGGGGTAAGGCTGCGCACATCCGCAAGGACCCGGTCCCGATATCCAGGAAGCAGGGAGCCGCCTCCCGTCAGCAGAATGTTGTTGTACATGTGCGGGTGCATCTCTGTTAGCGACCAACACAAATGTATACAGAACAATTATCAGTTGTCAATTCCCTCGGTCTGTCCTCTCAACACCACATCTCGGTTTCGCATCGAAGCTTGATAGTTGTCGGATTTTATTTTAATCTTTGATTCAGAATCTGACTGGACTACACATAGGGCTAGGCCATCCTTTTAACTTGTGCCTAAGAAAAAAGTTGTAACTTTGCATGCTTGCTGATGTAGTAATTTGTGTATAATTGAATTCACATATGCTTTTAAAAACAATTATTTACTGTTAATGATAAAACTTATTTACGGACGGTATGCTAGTGCCATTCATTCATATTCTTATTTAATCCAGAGAAATTGCTCTTCTCCCAGACAATCTCAAAACTTTGAAGGACCTCATGCCCATCTGCACTACATGTCTTGCACCCTCATCCGTGCTTTCAGCACATCCCAACTCGACCATTGCGACGCTCTTCTACACAGCATCCCCAAATCTTTAAGTATCTCCATATGACCCTGATATGAAATGCCACCACCAGACTGCTCACCCGCACTTGTGAACAAGACCACATCACCCGGACACTCAATCCCTCCACTGCCTCCCAATGCGATCACAGATCGATTATAGTGCACTAACCGATCTTCAAGATCCCCCGAGGACTCTACCCTAATTCTCATCTCTCGACACCGCTTACCATGCACTCCATTCTAGCGATCAGGGCTTTCTGTCAGAAGAAGTCTTTCTCCTCCGCTGCTGGCTGCCCATGCCCGAATTGGACGCGCGCACCGCGAGCTTAACAAATGAATTAAAAATAAATAAAAATCGATGGAATCCATTAATGGACGCACGCCTAACGTGGCTGAATCCCTCACCTTGGGGCAGGCTCTGCACGGCGTGCGTCACCGCCTCGGGGATGCCCATCTCCTGTACGCCGATATCGGACGGGTGGAAGAGGATCTCGGGGACGGCGAAGCGCTCGTTGGTCAGGCGCAGGATCTGCTCCCCGCCCGTGTACTTGCCACTTTGCGCCACGTCCGAGGGTGGCTGGCCAGTGGAAACGCACACAACCGCATTATCAAGTGGCACGGGTGTCACCGTGCCTAAAGCTTGCAAACGATTTCACACGTAAAGATCCTTTTGTCAATTTACTGCTCGATTAGTGCCTCCCTCAAATGCTGCACGGTTGGTAGGGGATATTTGACCAACTGCGAACCCAAAAATTGCGACGTTTCACGGAATCATGAAAATTCCTGTAATCGCCGCTCGGGGATTCATCAGGTGCCTTACCTTACAGTAGCCCTTTCTGATGCTGCTGAAGTCGGGCAGTATGTAATCTCTGACGATGGTGTTATCATCACCTTTCAATCTATCCGGGTTTCAGAGAACGACATACATCGGACACAGTGAGAGCAACATAGAAACACAGACGCTGGGCATGTGCTGCAGCGATTTAAAATCCACTCACTGCGCTATGGCCATGTCCTTGTAGAACTGCTGCGACACGTAACAGACGTCCTCCTTCACCTGGTTGATGACGTAAGTCTCGTCCATCACATGCAGCTGCCTGCACAAGTAATGTCAGTGCTGCCAGTGTCAATAGTTTCAGGTTACACGTTTACCTTATGTCAATTATTATTTGAGGTTTTATCCTTATCTCTTCAGTTGGTTTAATAAGCTGGACTTGAATCAAATTATGTTGTTGGCGAGCCGTGTGGTCTTGGATAATGCTCACCTGTACGATATGATCTCTTTTAAATGGTTTGTCAGCAGCTTCCCCCCAACATTGATCCTAGAAAAAAAAGAGTAAAATGTGCTTAGTGAAATGGATAACAACTTGGTTTTATTTTCATTAGGGATGTATTTTTTAAAACACTGCTATAGGGGATCGCAAAGTTCAAACCAGAGAAATATCCAATTTTTATTACGTTCAGGCTGTATGGATATCTTTCGCAGGAACTGCAGCTCACAATTTAACAATGCAACCCCGAGGTTAAACTCAAATAACTAAATGCACGATAGAAAATTCAAAGAGAAAACTACAAGGGGGTTATCAATAAATCCATGGCATGACAGGTGGCACAATCATTAGTAACTGTCGATTTGAACCCTCGCGTTTCAATGAATTTCCATGATTCGGGGTCACGATGCAAGAAATCTATTCTTTTTTTCCTTCACATCACGGTGAATTGTGGCACCTCACAAGGTTGCATGGGGTTAAGTCAACTAGTTAACCAATTTCAAAATTATAACAGCAACTGAGGTTGCATGGAAAAAGTAACAAAGTACATATTAAAGAAGTCTGACAAGACACGCTTTCGTCAGTCATTGATAGCGGCATTAGAAGTGCAACATATGAATACAATATAATCCCTTCTCGTATGTACGTATATTGAACTTATTTTGTACCATAGCCGAACATGCTAATCCGGAGGTGTGTATTGTGAGTTCAAGAACAGATTTCAATCGACGATGTGTTACTACAGTCCGAGCAGTCCGCCATCGGTTCCTCTTATCAGGCCAGTCTTTGTGATCACCCCTTGCATTACGTCAATGGCGCCCTTTTAAGCCTCTGTTGTTGTTTTATCTGCACGTGGAGAGGCAACCTGCGGATTCCTTCCTTGATCTTCTTGCCCCTGTAGAAGGGGACAATGTGTGTGAAGGAGAAGCCCGACTCGATGATCAGGCAGCACAGCTCGGAGGGTTTCTGCTGCTGGTAGCTGTAGGCGCTCAGAGTCGCCGCTGTAAATGACAAAGAGAAAAGAATGGACCGGACGATCCATGTTCTGGCATTGCGAGCAATGGGGCATTAAAAATGGTAAGGGTTAGTGGGCACTTTTCTCCATGGCAGCCCTGGTGGAAAGTCTAAAGTTCAGATAGCCAGAAGACCTAGGGTCAACTTAAGTTATAATTGTAAATGCAATGCAGTGAACACAACTTTTGTAATTATAATTAACTCCAGGTCTGCCTGTTGCAGGGTCTGAAGTGGAGCAGTGATGTAATAGCGCACTGCCTTGTGAACTCAGCAACTATAGTTTGATCGCTGGCTAAAACTAATATCAGTGGTGATATCTGAAATGGTTGTGGGCTCCAAACCCTTCACCGACCAACACCGATCAAAGCACCCTTGAAAAAACAGAATATAGAGAGGCCTTTATCCAGCGGTGAACCTCGAAGTTGCTTACCCTAATCTGCCATGAAATTCCTAGCGACCTTCTATCGCATTGCAATCCCTTTTATTGTTAACAGTGGGCAACCACTGTCCTATAAAGTGGGGCTAGGCATTGTATGGATGTGAGTTGTATGTAATGGCGAATACAGCGCTTATTCATTACAACCAGATGATCTACTGCTCCAGCTAGGGTGGCGGCAGCATGGTGTACCGTTCGTGCGCAGTATGGAGCGGAATTGATATTCTTCAAAGAGGATCTCATTCATGGACTCCTGAATGGAGTGGAAGTTGAAATAGGGCTCGGTCATGATGATGTCTGTTTCAGGGAAGTCCACCTGTCCATCAAAACACCATGCACAAGTTGCAATCAGGGAAACTCTATGGAGCAAATACAAATGGCAAGTGTTTTGACTGTGCACACAAAGACAGAAAAATATTATAAAACCATACATTACCTTGTACATTTCCTTTCCGAATAAATGGTCCCAGACTTGCCTCTGTACATCCCAGTTGACCAAATACCCCTACACAAGAAAAAAAAAGTACAGACCAGCAAGCACCTGTCAAGGAACTGTAACACAATGTAGTGCAATTTGTCAAAATATGAAGTGAAAACATTTGCAGTTGTGAAACAACAAACAGCTATATAAAAAGATATGTAAACACATTAATCATTAATAGTACCTTAAACATCATTGACCATGATCTACTGCTGATGAATGAAGGCTTCCCCAAGCCGTCAACATCTCTTACTGTCCCTCAATGCAACAAAACCGTCTTGCAGGTGAATGAGGACCTCAGTCCAGGCTCCAACAACCAGTGGGTGCCAAACAATGTGATCACCACTCTAGTCTGTGCGAGGTTGTTAAGATACCTACTTGAAAAGGGTAGCAGACCATTCACATTCAGGCGGCGTTAAACCTCTTTTTAAATGCAAAATATAGAAATTACGTTTTGGTAAATGGCCCTTCATCACAACAGCAACAGCCTTTCTTCAAAACAGAAAGGCCAGTGCCTGAAACTTATCCCCATTTTATATATTTCTGTAATATGGCAAACAATGATGGTGATGTGTTTTTTTCTAATCTTCACAGCAGCAGCTTTTGGATAACCATGGAAATGCATCGTATGCTTTCAGATGCGCTTCTGCGGCCAAATGGCATGCTCTTGCTTCTGATATTAGAAAGTCATTGGGGCTATACACTTTTGAATCTAGATTGAAAACTAATTTATTTAGAATTGCTTTTTATGTTTCGTTTGTTGTCCTTTCCCAGCACCTCCGATTAGCATGGCTGGCTACTTACGGTGCTAAACAAGTTCAACATACATATATGTGTAATGACATGATGACACCTGCTGGCTGGGAAAGGGAAGCACGGGTATGGGGACGGATAAGGGAACATCCAATCGGAGAGGGAGAGGTATCTGGGGCAAAAGTAACAGGTGGGGTTGGCCGAGATGCTCCGGTGAACCTGCTCAAAGGTTCCACGAGAGGGCGTGGCCGGAGGCGGGGCCTAACCACGCCTGGGGGGAATATAAGGGGGGGCGGACCCAGGGGCTCGGGGTTCGCGTGTGGATTCTTGGGTCCTGGCTGCGTCGTTGCTCGCCGTCATCTCTCTCCGTCTTCCGGCCACGTGAAAGATCTCCTGCGGGGTTTCCATCGCCATCCTCGTCACTCCGCCAGCCAGCGGCGTGGCCGCGTGAGGGCGGTGAGACCACGCCGGAGCGATCGGCTGTGCGTGTAGCCAGTAGAGACGTGAATATCTAAGTGTTGTACTCGGAGTGAGAAGAATAAGGTTGGCCTGTGTTGTGCCCAGTGTGAGAAAGTACCCTCTGCACGATGTGTCGCGGAAGTCGCTCATTACATACGTATAGAAAGCTGCATGTGACGCAGGTGTCCACTATGTACAGTTACCTTCTGAAAAGGTAAAATGAAGTAGAGCCCCGATGGATCTTTAATTTCATCGAGCTGGCTAGCCGTGAACGTCTTCAGTCGAGCCGTCTTCGAGCGGAACTGACAGTTCGGTATAATGCTGTTAAGGAAACGGTGGGGGGGGGGGGAGAGTTTGTTAAAAACAAATCACGGAAATATATATTCGATCCCCTTCACAAAGCTGACAACCGACAGCTACTACAATATGCACGGTGTACGCAACAATGTAGAACTACACAGTAGAAGAGACTGAGTTTATGTAAATCCACTACAGAGTGAGTTTTGGTCATGCTGTTCTTACCCAAAAGACCATCTGTGTTTTTATTTAAAGCTTTCGTGACTGCAGGGATTCATATTCTTGGTTCTTTCGGTAAAGTCACGTAGAAGGGAAACAATAAAAGAATAAAAATATAAAACAATATTTTTATAATTTTATTGTTTCCCGTCTACGTGGTGTAGAAGGGAAACAATAAAAAATATAAAACAATATTTTTTATTATTTTATTGTTTCCCTTCTACGTGACTTTACCGAAAGAACCAAGAATATACAGACCATCTGTGTGTCACGACTGTGCAACCGCTTGCACAAAACATCTCCAATGGCATTTCCTCGAACTTTTAACGCACCTCCGATTAGAAATTGTGGCTGCATATGGTGCAAAGAATTTTCGGCATTCAACTTCACTATCAGCCAATGTCTATCCACTGCTGGATGAAGACCTACCGGCGCCATCCCTCACGTTCCTCTACACCAGCTGATCTCATTGGGTGGTTTGATTAATCATCGATGTTTTTGGGTCAGAATCGCGTAAATAAAATGCGTATCTAATAAAGCTGTCACGTGATGAACAAACGTGCCAATGCATAACTAACTGCACGCACCCGTGTGCAGTAATTTCGCAACATTAAATTGGGTACGACGCTTCACTCAGTTACAATCAGCATCATCAGGCAGCTGCCAGAGCGGCATGAGACGGTGTTTGACGCGTTCACTCCTTTGGCTGCGATTCTGTCACCAGTCTTGCCCATCGCTGCATTAACCATTCTCTTCATGACGTGTGCTACCCAGGCCTATTTACTTTTATTTTAAGACGAGTGTCTATTGCCTGCGCGTGTCATCGAATCTATGTGCCCCTAGTCCTGTCTCTCAATGTAATTCCAAACATTGCATCTCTCACTTCGCGAATAACAGAAGCTATTTGCTGTACTGCCATCTGCTGGTCACCTCTCACGCAAGCTCACGCACACTTGAGGTTTTAAAAACCCGACAGCTTTTAACAACTTTAACCAAAAACCCGAAACACCAGTCCCGTGGTCAGCCCTCCACCACCACCACCTTACCCCAAACCAGAACGCGGACCCAGCCTGCGGCCTCCTCTAGGCTCGCGGTCGCCCCGCTAGGCGAGAGCGGTGGAGCGGGAAGCGGTGGGGGGGGGGGTGAGGATGGAGTCGTGGAAGAGCGCAGCCGCTCACCTGACCGAGTCCCCCGCGTATCCGATCTTGGCCGTGTAGGCGCCGTTGTCCAGCACAAGCACGACCATGGCTGGCCGAGGCAATCGAGCAGTAACCGACTCCTTCGCTTCGCCTCAGCCTCTGCTTCGCCTCAGCCTTCGCTGTCTCGCTCAAAGTGAAGCTCCAAGTTAACTCCCCCACAGGCGGACAAGCCGCGTCCACGCCTACGATTGGCTCAGACGCTTCCCGTTACTTAACACTGGCGAGCGCGCCGATTGGCTTAGACGCCGACTGTTGCGCTGCCCTTAGCGAGCGTGCCCCCCCCCCCCCATTGGTTCACACCCGCCGTTGATTAACATGAGCGAGCGCGGCGATTGGCTGAGTTGTGCATTTCTGTCGACCAATCACGCCGTAGACTTTTTTTACCGTATTCACCAGAATAGAAGACGCTCCGGAAAGTAAGACGCACCGCACAATTGTGCACTGTCAGTTTAACGCGTAGGCTTTCGCGACCAATATTATTCATAATTAGGGGGGGGGGGGGGGAGGGGGATGATCCCATAAATATAAACGTGTCGTTAAGCCACCACCACCCGACACAGCCAAAAGTAGTTTTTATTTGAATAGGTAAGGGCCACCGAGCTATATAATAGCTCTTTTATTTGAGGTTGATAGAACATTTTTATATTATAATTATAAATTACACCTAGATATAAGAATAACATTGATACAATAATAGGCTGGAGCATCGAGAGGGTAATACAGCTAAATAACTAAAAAACATTTATTTTTACCAGGTAAGGCCTACACTGATCGATACCGCGCTTTTTCAGAATGTTAGTTCAACGAAGTGGGATTATCATAATCACGTGGAAGTTTATAGCAGCCAAACACTCTAAACGCATGTTTATTTTAAATGTGGCGGGTTAAAAAAAAAAACCCGCATCAGAACATCAACAGGCGGATTGCGTACTTCGTGAATGTAAAATGAACAAGACAAAGTCACAGTTCTGTGGCCATGAAATCCATACACCATGGACTGTATAGTAAAAGCAGTGTCCTGGAGGAGCCGCAAACACGATACGGACTATATTGTTTATTTAAAGCTTTCGTGACTGCAGGGATTCATATTCTTGGTTCTTTCGGTAAAGTCACGTAGAAGGGAAACAATACAATAATAAAAATATAAAACAATAAAATTCTCACGACGTTTCGACTGCAACACAAGCAATCATCAGGTGTGAAAACCACAGCAAGAAAATTTGAAAAAAAGTGGCGGGTTTTTTTAACGTTAGTACCACGGAGAGCGATTTGACAGTTTGTTCAGATGGACGAGTCCATCTATGTTCGGAAAAGAGGAGGGGGGAGACGAAAAATAATGGATGCGGTCTGAAAGCCACCGTAAGCATGAACAATCAATTAAGACCCGAAATGGTTTATCAAATCCTTCCAATGATTGCTAAGCCAGAATCCATCTTCTCGGTTTAAATTGTCTCTGTGTTTGTATATGTGGATAGCCTCATGAACGAATCTCTCATGGTAGCCAGATGGCTTGCAAAGAACCTCTGTCTTGGAGAAGTCAATGTCATGTGAGCCTACTGAATTATAACAGTGATCTGCTACGGCCGAGGTGTTGGTCCTACCGTGTTTCAGGTCTGCTTTGTGTTCACGAATGCGGTCCGAAACATGTCGTTTGGTTTCTCTAATGTAACTACTACCACAGAGGCAACTTAGTTTGTAGACGCCAGGGTACTGCATGTCCGGAATCACATCTTTTACAGACGGAACCAGATCACAGAATTTATGTAATGTGTTGAATCGGACCTGGATCTTGTGTTTATTCAAAATTTTGGAGATATTTTTTTGTGATTCCCGCAATGTAGATTAAAGTGATGGTTTTGAAAGGCTCCTCAAGAGGGTCCTTCTTCATGGTTGGAGTGATAGCTTTGCGGATTGTGTAGTCGGAGTAACCATTAGCCTTAAGAGCTTGGTGCACGTGCTTGAGTTCACTGCTTATGTGTTCCTGGTCGGATATGCTTTGGGCTCTATGGTGCAGTCTTGATGAATTCTTCTGGGATGGATGATGGTGGGAATCCGGTTTCAGGTAAGCATCCGTATGGGTAGCTTTCCTGTAGACAGAGTGGCTCATTGAACCATCAGGTCTCTTATTCATTAGGACATCCAAAAAAGGTAGCTTGCCATCTTTTTATACTTCCATAGTAAATCTGATGGCTGGGTGTATGGAATTGTTGTGGTCGAGGAATTGGTCTAGAGCAGGCCGACCATGTGGCCAGATGACAAAAGTGTCATCCACGTACCTCTTCCATAAGGTTGGGCGCAGAGTGGCAGTCTGGATGGCGTCAGACTTTACCGAAAAAAACAAGAATACGATGCGGACTCTTTCCCGAATCCCTCTAGTGGCCGATAGAACCTCGACGTTGACATTTACCTCCTGAAGGTGTTGCCAAAGGGAAAGAACAGAATTAGAAGCGCAGCTCTTGCGTGAAAGAGGCCCCTGATTTAGGTCCTTATTCAGCAAGTACCATGACATCAACCAGTGACGCCGTGCGGGTGACCCAGTTTAATAATTTGAGTTAATTGTCAGGTTAAGTTCGTTTAATAAAGGTGAATCTCGTGATTTAAAATAGACTTCCCCTTAATTACATTAAGGCGTACGATTGCGTTCGTAACGAAGCTGTAGTTTCAACGCTCGTGATTCCAACCGAGAGGTAAAATTGGTTAAACTCCGTACATTGGTTTAATAGAAAACCCCACGGCGACCGTTGATTTCCACGCTTCGAATTGAGCAAACGCCTCGCGGGCACTTTCGGCTCTGTCGGCGAACACGATGGGGGCCGTGGACAGCCCTTGACGCGGTCAGCCCTGGGGGCAAGTGTCGATTGTGAAAGTAGCGAGACACTCGGGTGGGTGGGTGGATCGTGGCGGCGGCGGTGAGCGTCTGTGCCCGGCGCTAGATCCCCCAAGTACGCAGGCAACACGCGCGGAGGCAGTCCGCAGTCAAGTCAGTCAGTCAGTCCACAGTCAAGTCAGTCAGTCCGTCCACAGTCAGTCGCGTCCCATCGTCTGCCGAAGGGCGAATCGAACAACGGCCACGTTTCGCGGGTTGGGGGGGAGGGAAGAGACGGCGCTTTTCCTCGCGGTGAGTCGTTCCCGTCACTTATTGCATCGGGCAGTGACGGAGCAGTTTGGTGATGGTGGTGGTGGGAGTTTGTTTTTGTTAGGCCCGAGGTTTTTGTGTTTATATATTACATCCCCCCCCCCTACCCACCCACCATTCATTGAAATTCGCGTCGTACCGCGTCTAGTTATTTTTTTCTCCTCGTAAATCGACTTCGTTTTCTATAAAGGGGATTTTAATTTGAAAGTCGCCGTTTGGTTGCGGCTGCTGCTTCGCGTGACCCACAATGCCCCGCGCGGTGTTGTTGTGGTTTCCAAAGGGTGGGAGGCTCACGTGGTGGCCCTCGCGAATTCAAAATCTGAATATTTATAAAAATCTGAATATCAAAATCTGAATACTTATCAAAATCTGAATATCAAAATCTGAATATTTATCAAAATCTGTATATCAAAATCTGAATATTTATAAAAATCTGAATATCAAAATCTGAATACTTATCAAAATCTGAATACTTATCAAAATCTGAATATTTATCAAAATCTGAAAATGTATACTGGAGGAATCCGATTAGCTACTTCACAGATGTCCAGGAGGGACATGGGGTTAGAACGTTCCAACAACCGGTACAAAAATTCGATAGGAGTACAGGGTACAAGAAAGGTTAAGAAATCACACCCATTAACACATACAAATACAAACTGAACCATGCCCCCGTCCTGCCAGGAAACGCCTACTGAGGTATTCACTTATTTTGTCAGAAGCAACCTGGCCACAAATGATAGCTCAACAAAGTGGCCCATCATTTGGACATTTATAGCATCACAATAATCTCAACTCATAATTGGGTTCGTTCGAATCACAGTCTCATCCGTCGCTAGTTTTAGCATTGTCATTTGTAGAATTCGTGATCGTACCCCTTACAACAGGGGTGGGGAACCTTTTTTCTGCCAAGGGCCATTTGGATATTTATAACATCATTCGCGGGCCCATACAAAATTATCAACTTAAAAATTAATTAGCCCGTTATATTTGGTCAAACATTGAATTAACTCGCCCCTAATGTGATGGCTGGAACTGCTTCTCTGTGGTAAGGCGTGTGATGATGTTAGCTGGTATTGACGATGTTGCTACTCGCAACTGCTTTTCCAGGTTTGCTCCTAGATTTTTTTGAATTTCGAGTCCCGCCTGCGGTTGTCTTGGCAGGGCCAGATACCCAAATGATTTCGCGGGCCTTATACGGCCCGCGGGCCGTACGTTCCCCACCCCTTCCTTACAATGTAGATTTTTTTTTTGTAACGCACCATTCTCGTTTTTCCACTCAACGAGGGAGATTATTTTGCCGCTGTAAATGTCCAAATGATGGGCCATTTTGTTGAGCTATAATTTGCGGTTAGGTCGCTTCTGAAAAATAAGTTAATACCTCGGTGGGATTTGCCTAGTGGGATGTGGGGATGGTTTAGTTTTATTTGTATTTGTTTGGGTAATTTGTTTACCTTATTTTTACTTCGCACCATTATCGTGTATTTGTATTGTTTGTTGCAACGTCCTTATCCGCCCGTACTGGAGATCAATGAAAAAGAGCTTTATAGCTCATCGCATTCCTCCAGTATGAACAAATATTCTGATTTGGAGGAGCAGGAAACTGGCGACGACCAGAACCGGCGCGCCACAACAATTTGCCCAAGCTCTGTGGGGCCTATATTGAGATGTTTGGCCATATCTTTTTTTGAAATTTGAAAATTATTTATAAAAGTGTAATAACCAACCATTCATCAGGAGCGCCCCAAGGCTCGTCCACCACGAACCCACACACCGGATGGGTGATGCCAGCCGTTGGGCCCTACTGGCACAATCCAGTCTCGGCTGTTGCCTGAAACGTCGCCTTTTGCCAGTTTTTTAGTAAAAAGGCAGTATTATTGACAAATGTGTCGAGTTTATTTCTTAGTTTTGCTTGTGCACCACGTAATAAGTGACGTTTTTGGGAACGGCCTTATGGCCGTTTAATGTATAAGCAAACACTCCCAACACAGGGACCTACACTCGGGTGACGCTGTCCTGGTGTATGAATGGAAAATTTATGGATTCAATGAAAGGCAATTTTCTCATAACCCACTCACTTGAAAAGGTTAAGGTAATTTAGCTTAGAGGTGCTGGTACCAATAAAATGTTGCCACCTGGAGGAGGTATCGTGAATTATCTATTGAATATTCTTCATGTTTTGTGAACATTTCCTGGATAATGGTATTATTTTTGAGGCACGTAGGAGAACAATTGTGCATCGTGGTGCAATGGTTAGCGCATTGCGCTATGCACCCGGTGAGCCGAGTTCTGGCCATGACTAACATCTCATCCGGTCCTGGGTACCTCCTTAGCCACTCTGCAGTGACCAGTGTGATGAAGTATAGTCAAATAAAAACCTTCAGTTAATGGTGGACTGATAAAGGGATATGCATTACATTATTACAGTGGTTGGAAATTCACCACAGAGAAAGTAATTTCCTACCAGTTACGTTCGAATGTTTTGGTGGTGGTTCGGGTTTAGTGCATCAATGGATGGTGTTCATACAATTTCAGCTCTCAAACGTGCAGAAAGATGGTAAGAATTTACTTCCATTCGTTTCTTTGGAGCCAAACAACTACAGACATCAATAAAAAAAAACCTTCATACAGTCAAGGACACCATCGTTATATACTGTCACACTATACCGGTCACAAAACTGCACTGATGAGATTCTCTCCACAGAATATTAATTGTGGTGCTCTCTTGCTAAAACATTGTTCAAACGGTTTTTTTGCCCCTGATGCATTCACTTTCTGGTGATATATATTTCAAAAACGACCCTGAATTTTCTTTTTCGTTTCCATTGTTCCATTTTATTAGGAATTGGTGCCTCGTGAAAAGCATTCTCCAAGCACATTCATAGCATGAGCTGTAGCTAGTGGTAACTGCGTGCTAGCAGTAGGACATTGCAGTGTTTCCGCCGGCCGCTGGCAGTACATCAAAAAAGTCTTGGCAGCACGACAGAAATCAATGAAGGTTGCTCCCACTGTTTGCGTGGTGGACATTGCATCTCAGTGTTGGGCATTAGCATTTGCTGCCTTTTTTCCTGAAGTGATTTGTGCTCCTGTCAGCATGCTATTTAACTGTGTAATCACAAGTGTGATTATTCCTGCTAGTGGATATTGAACGTTCCCCTTTTTGGTCAGTAAAATTGCCTGTGAATCATGCATCATTACCGTTTGGCAAAAGTTGTTATGATACTGAACATAATGAGGCATTGTGTCACATGGACAGCTTAACATATCTGTGATCCGGGATGAAACGATTACATCCATTATGCGATTTTTTTCCACACTTCTGCGTTTAACGTCACGTGGCCAATTTTTAACGGCATGCCCACTGCTTGGCAGGGTGGAGCGACGGGGCCATTATGTCTCGGGACGGCGGCGAAAGACGCGGCCCTGCTGAGGAAGTGGACAAGGAGGAGCACCTGCGCGAAAGGGCAGACAGCTCGGGATCCGCCATGGAGGTGGAGGGCAGCGTGAGGAAGCGTGTCCGGCAGAACACACCCAGCCCCCAGAACTCGCTCTCCTCCATAGGTGGGGGGCTGGCGTGAACGAATATTGTTTTCCCCAAATATTTGTATTCCCCAGGGGGAAGAATATTTGACAGGCAGAATGAAGAAGACCAAAAAAAATACAAAGTGTTATTCATTGATTCGCAATGTAATCCCGAGCTAAGACACTTCTTCACACCGTGGCATGGTGAATTGTGTCAAGCCTCGTGGTCATCACCGGGGAGAAGAGAGCTTCGTTTCAAAGCACTTAATATTTTTACTTCATTTTCTTGGTTTATCATGAAAATGCAGTGCGGGATTTACTTTGGGTCTTCATTCCAGCTGGAAATCAAAGTATTAGCCCAGAGTCACTGCCACCGTGGCAGTGGCAAATTGAAGTTGATGCACATTCGGTGGGGTCAGCTGGGTGAAGATGAATCCGTAGGAAAAAATGGAATTGGCTGAAGGAGTGATCGTTAGCCCAAGAGTTTGCAAATGAATGGAATTCATGGAAATGGTGAAAATAATGTCGGCTTCCGCTGAGAGTACATGTAATCGATACGGATAACGCACGGGATCGATAATGTTGCACTCGTGGGTGAATGGCCACGTGCCAGCTCCACGGTGCTTTGCAAACTGAATGACAACGGTGTCGCAAAGGGAGCCATTGCGGAACGGTGGCACCATTGACAGTAAGTGTCGTCGTTGAAGTGTAAACCATTATAGAAAACAAACAGGTCTTTTTTTTATTTTAACACCTGATGATGATTGCTTGTGTTGCAATCGAAAAGTCGTGAGCATTTTATTGTTTTGTTTTTATTATTTTATTATTTCCCTTCTACGTGACTTTACTGAAAGAACCAAGAATATGAATCTCTGCAGTCACGAAAGCTTTAAATCGAAATTTAAACAGGCCTTTGTTAAGTATAACCCTGGTGTCTTGCAGCAGAGTTAATCGACCCACATTTAAACATTAGCTCGTTAACATAGAGTAATGGTTTATTTTAATAATTAGTTAAAGTGGCTATCTGGCATGGTGCTTCATTTGAACCCGTTGACCGATTTAATCCTGGGCATTGCATCCACTCGGTCAAATCATCTGGAATATGCCTGATCTCATTACAGCTCAGAAGCTAAGCAGGGTTGAGTCTGGATTGTACTTGGATGGGTGACCACCACACACACACACACGGTTGTAATAGGCAGCTGCGAGGCTGTGTGGTGAACAGCGGATGGCAGTGCAACAAAAGAAAATTTTCAAATCTACTTGCTGTGCTCCCCTATCTATCCTCCCCCACTAACCCGCATGGTAAAGTTTGGTGAAATAACGACCCGCGTGGCGTGGGGAGCGCCCTCATCCATAAGTGGATTGAAAAAAAGGGCCGTAGTTTAAAATTTCATTCCTTCCATGTTCACAGACGCAGTGTTCTACATCGCAAAAAAAAACCAAACCTTTAAGTCCTCCTGAGAGTGATTACTACTTATACAAGCACATTGATTGCACATTACCTGAAAAAACCATGACTATATCGTGGAGCCAAACTAGTCATCAACTTGGCACGCCAAAAGCAATGCCTGGTGTCCTTCACTGCTCGCGCTTGGCACCGCAATTGCTGACGCACGCAATGACGCATCATCGCTTGCGCGCACGCGCGCGCATGTGTGCGGCCACAGCGTCGAGCCCGCCCCGGCTGGTGTCGGTGGACGAGCTGATGGAGACGGCCCACAGCATGACCAACATGGCGCTGGCTCATGAGATTGTGCTCAACGGCGACTTCCAGCTGCAGAAGAAGCCTCCGCCCGAGCACAGGTACGGCACGGCGGGCCACCCGGCCTCCGATTAGCACGGTTGGCTGCGTATGGTGCGAGAGAAGCTCAACATACACGCGTACATACACGCGCCGTGTAAAGATAGACGCAACACAAAAAAAAATACTTTGGTTATTTTGTGGATGCCTCTGCCCACTACTTCTTTCGTATGGCTGCTGATGTAGATGCAGAGCAGCAACTACAATTTCACATTCAGGTGGTCAAGCCAGATAGCCGCGTCAGGAGCAACGTATAGTGTCAGCAGTAGCAGAACACGCGTGCCAACAAGGACACTCAATTTGTTTTGATAATGTTGAAGTTCTGTGCAAAACTAGCTGCTACTGGCCAAGACTAATTAGATAATCTATCGAAATTGAAATAAATAAAAATAATTTTACTCGTTCGGATATCTACCGACTTAGTGCTGCGTGGAAGCGAATCATCAAATAATACATTGTTTAAATGCATGCCTATACAGGGCACCATACTTCAGTAGGGATTACCGTTGATATGGCTATTTAATACACACAATGGACAGGAAGGACAAGATCATCACTATGGACCTACGTTACTTGAGTAATCTCGAAGAGGAATACCAGTTTGTTCTTGGGGTTGCGTTTGTTGTCACGTTTTGAACGAGGCAAGTCTGTGAGTTGGCAACGTTTTCCGGCCGCCCCCCTCCCCCCCCCCCCCCCCAAGGATGCCTTTGTGACCCCCCGCCCTCTTGCGGTTTCCACAGCCTCGAGAAACATGTGTCCGACATCGTACGCAAAGCTTTCTGGGATTGCCTGCAGACCCAGCTGGATGAGGATCCCCCGACTTACAACCATGCCATCGTGCTCCTCGGAGAGATCAAGGAGGTAGCCACTACGACGGTTGCAATGGAGAGATGACGACGATGATGTCATCGATTATCTTTCTTTCTCTGTATGATCTTCAGGTATGCTAATAAATACTTTGCTGTTCGGCTTAAATTCAAGTAATTTGGGCAATGAATCCAAACGTAAATTACTTGCTAATAGTAGCTGTCGGTATTCTCTAAAGGTTCCCAATACTTCAGCATAGTTATGAAAAAACGAGGGCGTGGTGGTGATAGTGTGAAGGAAAGTAACAAGATCTCTATTGCAAGAGAGATTCGAAAAACAACACTCTCCTATAAAATATAAATAACGGGTAATAGTTAATAATGGCAAGCAATATAAAATTCAGCAGACCAAAAAAAACCTGTCGAACCCGGCATCCCGGTTTCAATTCTCGGCCATCAGTGGCGAGTGATATCTGAAAAAGTCTTGAGAGAGCCCCCGTTCACCAACCCGCATTGATCAATGTGGGTAAGTGTGGTCAAACAGCTCCCATGGTTCTGTAAAGCATGGGGTGGGGCGGCTGATCCAACGATGATTTGATAATTGGCTGTGAAAAAGACATTTCATAACACCTCCTGGTAACTGTGCAGAGAGTGACAAGTACGCAAATAGAGCTGAGAAGATTCGGCATTTAAGTCGCTCAATCGAATAAGAATAGTATCCCAACTTTTTTGGTTGATTACTGGGCCCTTTAGAATGCACAGCCACTCCAAAGCCATCTCTAAGCCAATCCCAGAATGATGTGGCTGTTGATGCCGATGATGTCACCAATCAAACCGATAAATAAATTTAGATAACTCAAAATAGCCGAATCGCTCAGCTCTACGGCCAACCTTTCCCTGCTGCGATCACAGTCGCTGCTGCTGCTCCTGCTGCCGGGACACACGCGGTTGCGGTCCGTGATCGAGGAGGCGCTGGACCTGCAGCTGATAGCGCAGGAGGCACAGAACGGGGCGCTCGACTTCCCGCGCCTCGCCACCTTCATCCTCGACACGATGGGATCGCTGTGTGCACCCGCGCGCGACGACGACATCGCGCGCCTCCGCACCGTCTCCGGGGTCGTGCCGCTGTTCAGGTCGGGGGGCGGGGGGGGGGTGGTCAGATGTACGGTGAAAAGCGTGCGGGGCGAATTCGAAGCGAGTTTTTTTGGTTGTTGTTGGTAAAGCTGCCTTACTAAAAAGGGAAGACTTTGTCCAAAAAAATTGATTTGTTGCTTAGGCTGTGTCTTGGGCTTTGAGAGGTCAGTTTAATGCTTTGCTCGTGAGATAAATTGAATTGAAAAGTTACAGTCAAGGGTGCTGCCATAGCGCTCAGATTGATGTTGAAATAAAATGCATGGACGCGACATCACGGTGAGATGACATTGACTCAAAGAGTGAAACTACAACCGCTCAACTTACTGTTACTTCTTAAAGCCGTTATTCTTATTTAACAACCTTACAAGGTATACTCGGCAGCTTGGTATAAACAATCTAGGGAGATGCACGAAACGTTCCTCTTAATTTGTTTTTTCATAATCAAACACTTTTGTGAAATAGCACTTATGTTGCAACTGCATGGCAAGCTCACACTATTCTGCACAATGGCTCGGGCTTCCAGGGAGATATTCCAGGTGCTGGAGCTGATGAAGATGGACATGGCCAACTTCACCATCCAGAGCTTGCGGCCTCACCTGCAGGAGCAGGCCATCGAGTACGAGCGCAAGAAGTTCCAGGAGTTCCTCAACAAGCAGCCCAGTACGATCACATGCACAGTAGTTTAATGACGGGTGACGCAATAAATATTCCCGTTGAGTCTTGATAGACCGCAGGGGGTAAATGCATCGCTCAAAAGGAAACCTTTGGCGCTTTGTCGATCCAATACTGGACGAGGGCCTCACCACGGCATGTGGATTGTTGTGGGCTCTATTTGACCGTACTTCGCCACCCTGGTCAATGCGGGTTTGTGATGAGGGGGGTTTAGACATCAACCCACCAATGTTCGTCGTGAGCAGGAATATAACGAAGACCGCCGGTTTCATAGCCTGGCGTGCAATCCACTGCGCCACCAATCTGCGCACTACCCCATCGCGCGCACACGCACAGCAACAAGCATGCGCTTTTTGCCGTACACTTGAACTGTGCGCGTGTTATATTCCTGCGCAACCTGCAAGCAGACGCGCTGGAATTTACCACTCGGTGGCTGACAGAGGCCGCACAAGAACTCGGGGGTGTGGGCAGCGAGAAAACAGCGGCCGCCGCCACCGCCGCCGCCGCCACCACAGGCGAAAGGGTGGCAACGTCGGCTGTGCCAGGCCAGGAGGCGATCACGACCCCGGCCCCTCCCAGTGCCATCGCCGTGCTGAACCACGCATACGCAACGCTTCTTAGTTGGGACCACGGCAGCAGGTCCTTCCCCGAGGTGAGCTTTAGAGGACGCAGATGGATCTCTCGTGGTCTGGAGGGGGTGTCGTGCCAGGGGTGGGCGATAGAGGCTTTTGAGATGATGTTTGAGCTGTTCGACAACAAACCTGGCGAGATGTTAACTCGCACACTATGGGGGCTAAAATGCATTTAAAGTCTGGTCCACAACGTCCTATGCGAGGCAGTGTGGTGCTCAAGACTGGAAATCGCAGCGATCCCTCCGTCACCTCTTGTAGCCTGAAGCCCAGTGCAGCCACCTTCCAGCCTAACGAACGCACGGAGGAGCGATAGCTACAACGGCGCGGGCGCATTTTTCGCGTACAGACGGTGCTCATGGACCAGGCGCGGCTGGAGGACATGCAGCTGCGCCTCTGGGGACTGGAGCTGCTGGCCGCCGTGCTGCTCGTCACCGTGGGCGCCGGCGGCACCGCCGTCTCGGGCCTCTCGGCCTTCGCCGGGCGGCTCAAGTCCACCGCCGTGGCCTTGCTCGAGGGAAAGCACATCAGGTGAGGTGAGGGGCAGCCCCCCAAGGGCACATGGCTTGGGGTGGGTGCTGGGGGTAGTGGTGCCGACGTATGCACGTATGTTGAACTTCTTTCGCACCGTACGTAGCCAATCGCGCTAATCGGAGGTGCGGAGGACAACAAGGTATGCGGAAGGGCAGGGGAAAGCCACTCGGGCTGGAAACATGTTTTTTGAGGAAAATGGGAGGTAGCGATTTGAATGCGGAAGTTCCACTCCTTTTGGTTGCCATGCCATCCTCCATTGCGCTGACAGCATGCGCAGGTTTTTTTTGTTTTGACTCCGTGATATCGGGCCGACCGCAATTCACCATCTCATGTTGCTTGCTTTGTACAGAATTGCTCGAGGGCTTTAACAAAACCTACGAAATAATGTATTTTTTCCTGACTTGCTTTTCTGACATCCCTCTTTCCTGCTGGGTGAAAATCCCACCTTTAAAAAAAACAAAATAGATTGATGATGTTGGAATCGAGGCGCCTTTTCAATCAGAAGGGATTGTGAATTCACGCGGCGACTAAATTGGCTGTGTTTTTGTTCTTACTGAACCTATCGTCATGGGTGCCGGGCAGGTCACCAGGCATTGGCGACACCCTGATATCGGTGAGCGAGCAAATGGCGCGGGAGCTGCAGAGCTGCTTGAGTGAACACGGCTTTCCGCCCCTGTCCTCCGAAGCAGAGAGCTTCCTCATCGGGCAGATTTGCAGCTTGAACTCCGAGGAAAATGCCGTCATCAAGCTCATTGGTATGCACACGCAGTGTGCGCGCACACACAATTACGGACACTCGACCACACAGTGAGCCAGCGATTTAAAAATAATTAAGAGCTCAAACTTCAAACTGGCCATTGCTAGAGGGCTTCACACAAACCCTGTCTGGGAAGTCAGTTCACATAGTACTCTTATTGTTGATCCTGCAGCTAAAAAAAAGCTAAGTTGTGCTCTTACCATGCGGAGGTGATTTGCTAACCAAGTCCGATAAAAAAAAATAGTGAAACAAAAGCTGTTCTGTCTGTTTCTGTGATTAGAGTCGCGGGTGCGAGCAGTCATGCTCGGGACCCTGGTGGTGAACAGCCCTCAGCGGGGGCCCCAGCCCCTCCCAGGGGGTCTGTCCCCGATCCGGGCCGAGCTGGAGCCGCTGCAGGCCACATTCGCGCGCCTCATGGCCTTCAACCGTGCCGTCTTCGCCCCCGTCTACTCGGACGTGCTGCGCAGGGTTCATCACGGCGTCGGCAGCGCGGCCACCGGTCCTTCTTCCTCAAAGGAGTGATCGGGATCTGGGGCCGTCGCCGCCGCCGCATCCCCCGCAGCCACCCCCATTTCTGCCTGCAACGCGGAGATCCCGAGGCGGGTCTGAGGACAGACCGGGCGCTACTGCTAACCTCATGCTGAAGGACAGCGAGTTTGCAGTGAGGCACCCTGCTGCTTTTGTGTTTTATCTTAACCATCGTTACACCCCGCATTCGGCATATAGTTGAAGCGATAATTAACTTATACTGGAGTTTAAGTTGGTGTAGGATTGTCTTGTACAACTGTTATTTAATTGTTTTGGCCTTTGTTCATTGGAGGCATCTCTCATTTGTCCAAGAGGGTGGATTGTAAGGGATTTGCAGGAGTGATTGTTTCCATTATAATATTTCTAAATTGAAGAGTTATGTTTATTAATTTAAAAACATGTTTATATATATTTTAACAAAAGGGATACAGATTGAAACAATGCCAAGCATTATGAATGTGGATGTCATAAATTGAAATAAGTTTGAAACAATATGAAGATAACACAAACTAGATTGTGGAACTCTATGGAAGGGGCATAGAGTATATTTACACGATTTATAAGGGATTGCTAATGAAAAGAGTGAAGTTTTAACTCATGAGACTAATCAATCTATCCTAATTCCATATAACTGAGAAACCACGCATGACAAAGCCTACATGCAACCGGCTGGATGTGACATCAGGGTAGCAGCACCAGCCCTTTGCTTATTAGACAATTAATAATTACTGATGAAATTATAATATATATACACGCACCATAAACCATAGAGTTCGTGTAATTATGTATTAAAACAGAACCAGTCAAGGTACATTCTGGAGCATCGCAATGCCATGTGTATTGGCAGAACTGCCCATGTATGGCAACCAGTGTGAATTGCTTTTTGGAGCCAAAACCTACATCTGATTGTCTTGTTGACCATGGTTATAGTCAAGATGTCCACACCCTTCTTTTAATTGTTTCCGATGCTTGTATTAATATGAATTTATCAATGTTACAAATGCCATAAAGGTTCAACAGACATTTCCAGGCATTTTTGCAATGCAGTATTGTATTTCATTTGCTGTCAAATGAGGCCAAACCTGACCCAACGATAATACTGAAACAATATAAGTGCTCAAACATCTATGCTAAGCAGTTGTCAATAAACGTGCACCATTTCAAATAATGCCCCTCTGCCTACATGAATGTTGCCATAATATAAGTACTCATCTGTAAAAAGTCCACAGCATAGATTCCAGGGTTTCGGATACCTCGAAGTGTTCATTGATAGCAAACTCTCATTCTCTTCCGACATCTCAACTTAGCAAGGTCTTGCACCTTCATCTGCACTCCATTTACTGCGCATCCATTTCCTTACCTCAACTGCTGCGAAGGCTCTCATCCATGCCTTCATCACTTCCCAGCTCGACTTATAATTCCCTACAGGCTCCCCATATCCCTCTCGTCTCAACTGCAGATGATCGAAATGCCACTTAATACTTCTCACCCGTACCTGTAAATGAGACCACATTGCCACTACCCTCCCAGCGGCTCACAATCCAAGATCAATTTCAAAATCGCGATCACCATCTTCAAGGGCCTCTTAAGGACATGACCCTGCATAATGTTCGCCTATAATCTCACTATACCTTCCTCCACACTCCAGCTGCTCCCAGCAACCAAGACTTTCTATCAAAGCCCCCAGAGGTCACTCCGCAACAACATTGGTATGGATATCCTTCCCCCCCAGCATTCGTGCTGTTGACGTTCTGACCTTGTTCCAAGGCCAGGTTCAATCATTTCTTTTATCTGCTTATAACTACTATGACAATTGTCCACTGTTCATGTAGCGCATTTTCATCAGGTCGCATTTCGATGTTTCATGAATCTAAATTGCAAATGAATGGCAATCGGATAACCCCATTTGAGCCTGAACAGTTTATCCACTTGTCATGTTCAATTGATTGCACCGCACCTGGAATCAATTAAGTTTGTAGAAGTGAAATTCACAGATAAACTCATAATGTAACTTTAATTTCAGCTGCTGCATTTGTAATTATAATCGCCCACAGGTCTACAAAGCAAATATTACTCACATTTGTAATGCTGCTGTAGCATTGCCAAGTGTGTTAGCAAACGTTTAAAAAAGTTTCACATCAATAACTGACAAGTGGTAAAAAATAACCATGAATGCAATGTTTATTTACCGAACAACGTTGAACGAATATCCAAGCCACGAGAAGAGACCCCTGTTAAGGGTATGTACAGAGGCTAATTACAGGGTTACATCACGTATGGTGTCAAACGCATACGAATAAGAAGCTCCAGTAGCCGGGAACGATACGTCCCGCATTTACACAAGGTCTTGCTCTGTCAGCTCTAATATAATTACGTTTAAACAAATGTTAATTTAAAATATGTAATAGCAAAATTAAACTTTGTACTACAATATGTATGCGATATAGAAAACTGCGTTTACATTCCTTGGTTTTTCAAAGTTTTTCACAAAATCTGTACGACTATACAACTATTTTAAACAGAAAAAAATGTAAGCTATGCATTACGTAGCGTTTTTTTTTATTTGAATCAAGGGTATAGAAAATGGTAGAAAATGTGTTATAAGTCCCCCAGTATTAGCCTGATCCAACAATACAGGGCAACTGATGGAGCAGTCTAACAATCGTTCCTGACCCCCCCCCTACCCCCAGTACAAAGCCCAAGTAAAGTGCTTACATAACAATAAACGACCAGCATGTCTTAAGCGCACATGCTGCAGTCATTAACTGTCAATGCAAATCCCAAGGTCTGTCCATTTAGTGTCAAGTTTTGTTACGCCAGAAACAGCAGATTGTAATTAGAATGCAGTGTGAGCAAATGTATCCATTAAACATTCTGTAACAATGTATACTTAGGAGGAATCTCACCTTTACAGTTCAGTACAACCTGCAATTGTTTTTTTTTACCCAAAGCAAAACACACACACGAGACCAAGATACAAACGTGTTTAAGTGCCAACAACCAAACTATATGGCTTACTTAAAAGTGCCAACATAGCATGTTCATTATACAACAGAATAAGTTCGATTTGGGTTCATAGAAAATAATACATTGTCGGTACATGTTACGACGCATTCTCAATATATTTTCACCACCCTAATGTAAGCATGCATTCCTCATAGAATAATGATAATTCTTGGTATAGTAAAAAAAAACCTCAATGGATGTTGGGATCCACTGGAATAGTATTTTCAATAAACCTTTCAGGTCTGCTGGGGTATCGCAGTAATCATCATTATTATTCTCTGGACACTTGTTGACCAAGGCCTACCGTATGTGCGATAAGAGCCCACAAGAAAAGCACGTGAACATTGCAGGAATCGCACTGCGGGTAAGAGACAATCGCGGAGGGAAATGGCAAATGGACAGCCAAGCAGAAAACCTTGCAAGGCAGAAGAGCCCCCCCCCCCCCGTGCTAATATTGCCGACCTGCAGCTCTTTCCAAAAATAAGAGGCACAAGTCATCAATTGCTCTCGTCAATGGGAACCATTTGGAGTTTGAGAATTAGGTTTTTTTAAAATGAAAATACTGTAGGTAATTTGGTAATGCATTAAATCTGCAGACAAAATTACATTCCACCCATTAGCTCCGCACTAAACGCTGCGTTCCATGAATGCGGATTCAGCGTTTATACCGGGAAGTCACCAAATTTGGTATCAAACTTTAACGTTATCACAGATGTATTGGTGTAATATAAACCTGTGTCGAAAACTGTCATTATAAATTGTCCAGAATATGCAGTATTTATTATTTGCAGCTCTTCTGCAAACTTTTATAATTTGTACACACATTTTAGCCCTTCTGTAAATTAGCGTACAAATTTGGATAAACTGCACAAAAATTACAAATCCATAAGAACTGTTTAACATGACCTGACATTTCATGAAGAAAAGCAGCAGACAGTGCAGAACTAGGGCTGAGTAATTATGCCAAACGTGTGGTTTCCTGAAGCAGCCCTCTAAACTTTTCTCAACTCTTGAACGAAATGTGTCGACTACTGCTGGAAACACCGCCATTAAACGAAAAATAGTATATATAAAAGTCAATATAAAGTATGTTGATGTTTAAGGAAAAGTTAAATAGGCAATTTTCTAGATGTCGCAAAGACTTGGTAATTATTATGCAAAATTAACAAGAATTGGCTAGGTATTTTTACCTAACTTTTGTAGTGTCGTAGGATGCCTGTTGCACGCGACTGTCAATATATATTGGTTCTTTCGGTGAAGTCACGTAGATAGAAAATGTAAATAAAATAAAATTTAGAATAAATGTATAAACAATAGAAGCAAAAAACCCACGAGGTTTTCGATCGCAACACAAGCCATCTTCATCTCTTCTCTCCGCCTGATGAAGACCGCTTGTGTTGCGATCGAAACGTCGTGGGTTTGTTGTTTCTACTATTTTTCATTTTATTTTTCTACCTAGGTGACTTTACTGAAATCACCAAGAATATGAATTCCTGCAGTCACGAAAGTTAAGTCAAAATGTCAATATATTATGGAAAGATTATTGTAGTGAAGCCATTTTTGTTTTCCCAAATATGCATTATGACTCGCGTATAAACACTTAAGGAGCAATACATTTCCCATTCTGATATATCAATGTCGTTATTATAAGAATAAATATAATAAATAACACGGAAACAATAATATCGCTCATACCCTGACTATACAACATTGCTCTTATCAATGTGGTAACGACGAGTATTGCACTGTATTCTTTTATAAGCGCACACAAATACGAGTCCTGTACAACGAGGGCGCAAACGCTGGTTTACGGTTCCTCCTCACATTCATCGTCCACACTTCTCAGATGTCCTAACACAGTTGACAAGGCAGTATTAACAGTGACGCGACTGTGAAAAAACACTCGCAAGAACCTCTCCTTTCGACGCGAGACAAAAATAAGTTTTCCAAGAAATTATCTGGGGCTATTGTCCCTTTTTCCACTGGTTCCTAAGACGGCGATGGTACAAACGAATGTAATCGCTCAAGTAACATTTCAAGTCCAAGCAGAGAAGTCAATAAGCAAGCATGCCCTAGGGACTGACAATGTGCTGATGATGGGGGACGGTGCGTGATAATTTGCCAATTACACACAATGGAAAATTATTGACGGATTTGATATATTATTGATAATTAGATGACGTGTTCTACCGGTGGATACTTGACAATAAAGCACTTCGCAAATGCAGCTCCTACAGGAATTATATTTCACTACGCATTTTAAAGGCAACACATCAACATGTTAAAGAAAATATAAAATAATAATATTTAGAAAAAATATTTTTCAAAGTGACTGCAGCATTGTAGCATCAAATAGATAACAAAAATCCCAAACCTTCACCGACATTCATGACAGGGATTTTGAATGGTACACTTTTACAAATAGCGGTCAGTATGTTTCTACCTCCCAGCACCAACCTTCCATGCTGACAAAGTAGATGACTGAAACTCGATTGTGTTAAAATATTAATTCTGCCTGTAAGCCACAGTTTTAAAAATATATAACAGTGGAGATGCTGCTGTTGAGTTCATTACTTTCTTTCGGTCTTTCTTTTATTGTTGTTGTTGACACAGTATACATGTAGATAACGTTCACTCGCGTCAATATGGGGTTATATCATCAGGAGGCCCTGCCTGACTTAGAGCATACAGGGGCCACAGTTAGTGAAGTACTGGATAGTTGCCAAGCTGGGCAAGACGAAACACATTGTTATGCCTATGCAAAAGCAACCACTTAACAGCACAGATACCTGGGGGCTGTGCAAAAAAAACTCACGAGTTACATGTCACATGCTCTGTAAGGTGTTCGACTGAAAAGGTTATGTACAGGGTTCATATTTTCAGAGTTTTACAAAAAGAACACTGTTAGCAGGTACACGATGCTGAATGCTTTTTAAAAGTTGTTTAAAGTTTCCAGTGATTGTAGTCCCAGTTCAAGGCAAACAGTTTCTGAACTGTACCTCATGGATGCTGTATCTCCAGATTGTTTTTATTTTTTTCTCTTTTTCAGTGTGCTTATAGGTTCACAAACACCAGCTTGCACGGACGATAGTTGTTTTTTGTGCTGATCATTTAACATAGTGTTTACGGGTCACAAAATTTCAACACCACCTTAGACACGTTGA